CAAAGTTATGTCATTAAGAAATACTGTGGGGCACGTATCATGTTTCAGTGTGAATGTTACAGTGACAGATTTTGTTTCAGTTGCTCTAACATTTATAATCGCTAATTGGTCGTTATCAGACCTTTACTGTTACTGTAGTGCACAGATACTTTTACTTTTACTAATTTTGAAAAATCCTTTCTGAAACAAAATCTGTCAATGAAACATTCACAGTGGAACATGATACGCCCTTATATCACCCCCTTCGGGGTGAATAAAGGCAAAGTTATGACATTAAGAAATACTATGGGGCACGTATCATGTTTCAGTGTGAATGTTACATTGACAGATTTTGTTTCAGTTGCTATAAAATTTATAATCGCTAATTGGTCGTTATCAGACCTTTTACTGTTACTGTAGTGCACAGATACTTTTACTAAGGGCCATTTTAATCACGCTTTTATCGTCTTGTAAGTGTTCGATGTTTATTTTTGCCATATTCAAAAAAAAAAAAAACAGTTTTGCCGGTTCCCAAAATGTATATTTTTTTACAAAAGGTATACCGATGAACATCTGATAATGAACCACAGTAACTATTACTACTAATTCTGACAAACCTTTCAAAGCTATCACATCATTTAGTAAACTTTTTACCGGCTATAGGACATCCATCCTAGACAATCATTTTAGGTTTTTCATAATACTTTTGTAAGTTCTGCTGTCCTACTCTGAAACCGATCTGAGCCACGTCAGGATTTATGTATATTTTTACAAAATAACTGGACCTTGAATTGCACTCATTGTATAAAACCACTAACTATATTTTTTATATACTAAGCAGATTGATGAAAAAGCAGATTTAGTAAAAAATTGCTACCAGAATCACTAAGTCCACGCGGACGAAGTTGCGGGCAAACGCTAGTGTATCTATAAAAACATATATGTGTAACATTTATAGTGATGGGCTGGCAACTGTTGTTTCTGGACAAACACCTTAGATCCAACCAATCCCAAATCTGGAGTCGTCTATGAATAGTTCTTAAGCTAGTAGCAATTAAAAACATCTCTTATCTATTAGACAAGTCCGTCCGTCCGTCCGTGGTGCTGTTTCAGCGGCCAAACCGTAAGAGATAGATAAAGAGAATGTTTAAGTTATAAGTTGAGAATAGTCTGATAAGACTACAAACCGGATGTGAGTAACGTAGTACTTCCGGTTTTCAAGAAATCACGTGATTTCTATTTCAAACGAAACCACACAAAATCTCCGAAGTTCTCAATTAATTAAATACATTTTTTTTTTGGTGAACATTTGGTTCACTGGTTTGCTAGTATATTATAACGGGCTCCTTCGTGCTGCGAGTTGGTCTCTGCTGCACCTGACACCCAAGCACGAATTTTGACGTAATCGTCAAATCATATCGTTATCGTAAAATTTTGTATGGAAGTAGCCAGTTTGTTCTTACGCCCGGTGCTGCTTTAGTTTTATAGAAACTTTGCCGTTGCGATACGATTACGGAGCTGCCAAAATTAGTTCTTGGGCCTCTAAAGTGATCAACTCTGATCAAAGTGGCGAGACATGTTCCTGTTCTTCCTATACGCTCCTTAGAATTAAACGGCTGGTGATGATAAACTAAAAATTGTATTTTTTTAACTGTTTATGTGTTTTTCTTCGATTTCACCTGATAGAAAGCAAGAATGGTAACTAATATGTAAATGCCTATTTACTCTCATCCTTAAATACTGCAGTTGATTTATAGCACCGTGATTTTGCCATATTTACTTGCTAAGGCGTTATTTTCTGAAAAATATAATATTATATAGCATTTGCTTCCTTCGCACGGTGGAAGAAAAGCCTTCAGTATGGATAATTTGATTGTGTTGTCACAATGACTTGGATTTCTACGTTCCCGCCCATCGTTACCATGACCACCGTGATCATAACATGCTCGTTCATAAAGTTTCTGATATAAATCAGTTTCCATACAGTTCGGTCCTTAACGACATCAGTGAAGTCTATACGTTAGACGTGTTGTGAAATTCAAATAGAGTCATATTTTCTGAAGCGCTCGAAGTGTAGTTTTGAAACAAAACCTACTTAAGGTGTAAAAGCATTAAAATTTTTGAGATTATTTGTAAGATTGTGATTTGTGTCATTATTTCAAACTGGGTCAATGCATGGACAAAACTGTTGTGGAAAAAATACAATCTGCTAAGTGAGTAGTGTAAAAGAGATTTTATAATAAAATACTTTTTTTGTTTAATATACTTTAATATATTATTATTGAAATTAGTTACGAGAGTATTTAGATAGTTTGATTTATCATAAAATAATTCCTTTACTTGACGATATTCAGATTAATGGAACTGTATTTTGTTAGTTAAAAAAAACCTTTAGTGAGTATGATTATAATCGTTTTTAGTTAATAATATTTTTATTTCATTAAACTTACTTTTAAGTAAGTACTTTTATAGTATGTAGAGCAGTTAGATCACCTACGAAGTAGTTAATCTTATTTTATAAAGCATATTATATTCTTTTATTTTGAAACAACAGCTGCTTCTTATCCATACTAGTTTTACAACTTCCATACTCATTTAAAAATGTGTTGAATGTATTTCAAAATTTAAATATTAATAAGATCATAATAAGTATCACTTAAATTGAAATTGGGTGGAATTTATAGTAATACTACTAATAGTATTTTTTTTATTGCGCCTTGCTGAATATAATGTTGTATTAGTATGTGATTCCACATCTTTTTAAATGTATGTTTACGATTTACATCCGGTGCTTCTAATCAGAGATCATAATAAAGCCGGAAATAGATGTATTTGTCTGTCGTGTTGTGTTGTGACGCGTCAGAGAGGTATTGGTTTCATACATTTAGTCAATACATCGCGACACACAAATATAAGTAATTCTAACCGTACTAAATGCATAAAACCGCTTACTCTATGAGGTGTCATAATATGACACAACACGACAGACAAATATGTTCAAGCTAATTAGTTGCCAGTAAGTTTGATTATTTCAGTTAAAGTGTAGGCTTGTTCCAAATATCAGCATCATCAATTTGTACTACCGAATTTACGAAAACTATGTTTCTTATAAATGATTACATTTGTATTACTAGCAACCACCCGCGATTTTATCCGCGATTTTTTTTGTTTTTTTGAGAATCCCACAGGAACGTAACATTTTTCTGAGATAAAAAGTATTACCAAATTACCTTCAATCCATTAAGTACTTTTTGCGAGATTCAGTTATAAACATACAAACACACAAACATTCACATTTATAATATTAGGAGGAATAATTTTATTTTTTCAAATATATAGGTGTATCAGTCATTATTATTTCAAGAATTAAAATATTACAAGAATTAAAACAATGAGGACACTGTGGTCTTCCTTTGCTTGTATATCGATTTTGATTATAAGCGTTGGGTGAGTTGTTTTAAAACTATTTTGGTTATGGGTGTGTAGCAACAATACTAAATTGTGTGTTATAAGATTGAAAATTCACAAGTCCTAACATCTGTTTTCAATAGATAGTATGCAGTGTTTTACTAACTTACTAATCACAGAATATCTTTACCTACTATTAATTATTTATATACTAATATATATTATTTATATATTTTAATTAAGTTCTACACAGTAATAAATAAATGCGAGTGAAGGCTTTTATTTTCGGAAGTAAAAAATAAGTACTTAATATTATTTGAAAAAAATATCTATGTGGGATATGGTTGGTATCTTCTTAATAATTAACACAGCTAATAAGATTAGAATGGCACTGAATATTTATTATTATTAACAAATTACTAAACAAAATGTTAACGCCTATTCAAAAGTAGACAGCAATAGTTTTTGATTCAAAGAAAAGTTTGTATATTCCGCAAGCAAAATATATACACTAACATCAACAAGAGGATATTTTCTGATTGTAAAATAAATAACGCATTCAAATCTATCAACTTATATACCTAATTATTTAAATTAGGTAAAGTATATAGTAATGCCTCATACATAACAAAAGTGCACAAAAAATGTGCAAATGTATAAGGTTTATGTCGTAGGATGTTATTACGATGAGATGAATTGTAGTTTGATAAGATAAATCCTAGGGATTTTGTGAAAATACGGAAAATTACATTATGGCGATGACATTGGTCAATCTTACTGTTAACGTTTTTTTTTCTGGCGTTTCGACGGCCGTTGCTCCGGCACGCTCACTACGCTCGCTCGGCTGGCACACCGCGGTCTCAATACTTACCTAACCTATCCTGATGGGAACCTAAAAAATTCAATTATATTTGTAATAACCCAACAATTCTTTTCGCAATCTTACTTAGGCGACTCGCGTTTTCGCAAAAATCTTTTTTCAGTAACATTGAGAAAATTCGTCGCCTTTGTCTAATTATCCGCGTTTTTGCAAAATCCCTAGAATGTATCAAATCATCCTACGGCATAATATATAAGATAGGGAAAAACTTTGACACTCGAATTAGAGCGCCTGTTTGAGTAAGTAACTTATTAGAAAACTACATTAAAATAACATTAGCTTTTCATGAAGTATTTGTTAGGGAGTAGGTCCGAATAAGGCTAAGGGCATGACGGGTTCGGGATCGGGTGAAATGAGATACGTCGTACCTAGTGGTAACTTATTTCGCCACATCTGCCATTTTTATTATTGGATTCTATATGCTGCGTCTCGTATAAATAAGAAAAAAAACATCAAGGACGTCACATTTACCATTGCTAAGTTTTAAAACCAAGGCGCAGTTAATTACCCCACTCTACCCTATTAGATGTCAAGTACCGCTTGTACTCCAGTCTTCTTCCAAAAGAAACGCAGCACCGCCAATGTTTACTGAAAGATGGAGATTACTTCCGAAGAGTCAAATGCGGTTTTGTATATTTTTGTTTCTCCTGCAGCCATACCTTTAAGACTGCTAGCCCCTGCGACAGATGTTCTTTATTGAGGAATTAAAGTTTTTTTTTATTTTATTTCACAGCAACGCTGTTGCTCGGTCTAAGAATAGCAAGATGCCAGCACAGCACATCAAGTTGCATTACATGCCACCTTCGCCGCCCAGCCGCGCGGTCATGATGGCGGCTAAGGTGCTTGGCATCGACCTGGAGCTAGTACTCACAAACCTGATGGAAGGGGCACATCTTACTCCGGAGTTTCTCAAGGTATTGTTGGTAGATAAAATGATAGGTTATTATCCTAAGTAGTCCATAATGTCTGCACTGTTTGAGGACTCAGCTTTTTCCTCATATTTTTAGGTTAAGGTTAAGTGAGGTTAGATTAGTAAGATGCCAGCACAGCCCAATAAGTTATATTGCTTGCCACTGTCGCCGCCCTGCCGTGCGGTAATGATGACGGCTAAGGCACTAGGCATCAAGCTAGAGTTATTGATCACAAACCTGATGGAAGGGGCTCATTTTTTTGAGTAGTCTATAACGTCTCCACTGTTTAGGGACTAAGCTTTTTCCTCAAAATTTTGAGGCCTAGGTTTTAGATTAGCAAGATGCCAGCACAGCCCATTAAGATGTATTACTTGCCACCGTCGCCGCCCTGCCGTGCGGTCATGATGACGGCTAAGGCGCTAGCTAGGCATCCAGCTGGAATTTTCTTTAAGGTTGAACGATTATTATTCTTAAAATAAGAAATCTATCTTAACTGTTATAGTTTTCCTTTAAAGTTCATAAAAAGCATCCTAAAAAAATATTTTTGAAACAGCTCTCTAGTGCTAATAGTTTCCAAACAAAAGCGGGTATATTCCAAATATAAGGGTTCCTTGTCAGGACTAGGGAACCCTAGAAAATTGTTACAAACTTACCGTCGAACTTTATTACTACTACTTAATAATAGTTAGACCCATACATCATCAAGTCGAAGGACCGCTTAAGCATTACATTAATTATTTTTGCTATTTAGGTAAGTATAAGAAGTCGAAAAACTTTTTTGTTGGTGCTCTTTCTAATCACGGTACTTGACGATGTCTGGGTCTGACTATTACTGTTATAACTAGGTGGTTATAACAAAGTTAAAGGGTCAACACAGTTTATTTTTTTCTTCTTAATGCTGACAAACTGCATTGTAGTTTGGCAGAAATATAGATATTAAGTGTTTTTCTTTGTGGAAAATAAATTAAAAAAAAAGATAATTTTTGGCTGTCGGGGGTTTTTTCTAATTTTATTTGTAATAAAATATTTATAAATTTATAGTAGACATGCTAAAACAAAGCTTCGATCGTTTTTTTATTTATTGAGATCATTCTTAAGAACCAAAACACTCTACATCTGTTCTAAGAAATCTAAGTTTGCGACACTGTCATGTGATTGAGAGACAACTAAGTAAAAATGTTGTCTAATATCAGATTTTTCTTTACAGATGAATCCTCAGCATACAATACCGACTATGGATGACAACGGTTTTATATTATGGGAGAGGTAAGAAGATTTTGCTTAAAAAATAACATTTTTGATTTTCATTGGCTTAACTTTAAAAAATATAGATAGTTGATCTGAAGTTTTTAATAAAGCCTTTTCATTGATGATGTTAACTTTTTTAAATACACAAAAGGAGTTTCAAAAACATATTATTTTAAACCTTCACGGTCACTAACATTATAGTAATTTATGTTATTGCTATTATTTATTAGCGCCCTGATCACGGAGTTTTTTTTTGATTTACTTCGTGATCATGTCGCTTGCAATAGAGACGAAATATCGGGAACTCGGTAAATACACGGCATGTACCGTAGCAACCCCTTAAATAACATAAAGTTCCAAAGGAGTTCTCCATGCTAGATAAGAAAAACAGAACTGTGTGACAGATACATGAAAATGCATTTATCGAGCATAACCTATCTTTCCACCTTTATGTCGCCACAGCTTTGGCAGAATAATGCCGGTCTATAGAAAAAGAAATGATTAAAAGATAAAATTGTACTTTCTGGGCCCAGGAGGTGACACTTTCCTTTTTTTGGACACTTTCCTTATTTTTGTTGAAAAGACTCTGTCAACTCTAACCTAATAGTGTCAACTATCATATCGTGGGCCCAGAAAATACAGTGTAGCCAATTAAAATAAAAAGCTTAAATTTTCCAGCCGCGCCATCTTAGGTTACCTGGTGAACGCTTACGGCCGCGATGACACGTTGTATCCGAAGAATCCTCGTCTGCGTGCGTTGGTAGACCAGCGGCTCTACTTCGATGCGGGAACGTTGTTTAGCAGATATATGACTTTATATGTGAGTGTCTCACTAATCATATTCCATCCATCGGGAATGCCTGCGCCCAGCAGTGGGGTTTTGATAGGCTTATGATTTTCATCACCTTATCACTCCCATATTACATCCCATCCTCCCATGTTCCGTCATTTCCATGATGTGATTATTACAAAGTTTGAATGTTTACCGTCTACATAAAAATCAATTGCCTTCCTCACAATAATTTATCGTGAGTCCAAGCGCCATCTTCTATCCTGGAGTTATTGCAGTCAACATAATCCACTAGATTCTGGCGTTTTTCAAATGCGATAAGATTTACCGGTTAGGCACAAGCGATTATATTGCCCCAATTTCTAGTTGCTATCGAAAAGGCGGTCAAATTGCGACCATTCATCCAATTCTGCTACGAGAGGGGTCAACGTGTTGATAACTACAAAACTTTGATTTAGAGGCATGACTCAGTTGTACTGTACGGTGTGGTATAGTTATGCATCCTGTATGGATCTCAGTCATAGAAAATAAACAAGTTATATACAAGTTTTAGACCATTCTTTCGTATAATAAAATAACCTTTAACATTTAGGGGGATGAAAAATAGACGTTGTTCGATTCTCAGACCTACTGAATATACATATAAAATTTCACGATAATCGGTCAAGCCGTTTCGGAGTAGTTCAATTACGCACACCGTGACACGAGAATTTTATATATTGGAAGATGTTGATTTTAAGGTTAAGTCTTTTGTCCGTTTTTTGTAATTAACAAAAATTTAAATAAATTAATCAGAGGCCTATGACTACAGGGGCAAATTAGGGTCTATGAGAGACACTAGAGCTGCAGCAATCAATGATTTGAAATAAGTATATTGATATTTAGTATAGCAAAAAATCCGATGCTATTGATAGACAGATATATACCTCGATAACGATTGAAATGTTAATACCTACTTAGTATTTACAACTAACGGCTGCACCTAGTTGACCCAGTAACGTATATTTTTTAAAGGGGATTAAAGTTAGTGCAGTCTCTGACTGTGATAAAATTTGAATAAAATATCATGTGACTTTAAATGACATTTTATTTGACGTCAGAGTAGACGGCACCACTTATCGCAAATTGGAAAACACAAAATATCTGTGTTCTGTGATGGCTCTGTAGGAAGGCCAAAGGGAAAGATCTTCCGCCGAGCTCGGTGATGGTAGCTCGGGGGCCGCGGCCCGACTGATATTGGTCGGGCATTGTATCGGAGTGTTAGCATCCGAATTTCACTTGCGCGATGTAGGCTTCCATACGTATTGAACGCAGCGTTGGTAGTGCCATCTCTTGAGGTAGCGAGTGATTATTTCCTCTATCCGTTGCATATTTGTGTGGCATATACATAGATGTCGCTGCTACAGCTCGAAGCGGTATAAGATTGTTGTACTGCCAGAATATCAGCGCTAATGCTTAGGCTGCTGAATTGGGCAGGGTCCTGGTTAGCCCTTAGGTACCATTATTTAGATCCATACCTTTTATTATTAACTAAACCTATTTTAAGGGCTCATAAAAACGTTTTTGTTGTTTTTACTTTGTAAAAGCAGACAAGATTAAATTCATGAATTTAGGCTAACAGAATTTTATCTTCTCTTATGGGCTTACAATCGCACCATAATTTAGGAATGTATACTTTATATAACTTACATTATAATTTAGAATTTATATATTTAACTTCCGTCTACATTATACTAAGAATGTCTAATCAGAGTAAGCCGATGATAATATTTACCAAAACTAGCTTTGTAAGGCAACCTTGGACTCAACAAAAGCTAAGGCTAAATATGTGGATGTAAGTACTTAGGCTGATTATACAAAGTAGATTGACCATCATCTTAAAAAAATAATGGTTAGAAAATAAGATATAGTGCTACGGCAGGCTTATTTAACTTGCAGTCGGAACGGCTGCCTTTTTGTATCAGTTTTTTTTTATAAAAAGGCTATCAAATCATAATATATATCTTGTATAATAATGGAGGATGAAAAGCGGCCTCCATGGCGCTTGCGATACCAAAAATATCACTCGCACGACTGTGCCCAAAAGAGCCCAAAAGAGTAGTTCACACTTGAGATTTAAAAAAATAATACTTAAAATAAATTACATATTCCCAACATAACACAAATTACTTTTTCAGCGTCCCATGCTTTTTGAAGGAGCACAAATGGACGAAACACATGCGGCGAAATTGAACGAAGCCATTTCTTGGCTCAACACCATGCTAGAAGGAAGAGCATTTGTTGCTGGAGACAACCTCACAATTGCAGACATATCAATTATCGTCACATTTACAAACCTGGAGGTAAAGTAACTGGCGATGTTAGGGCGGGGATGGAGAACGGTAAAGTTACTTGCTTGGTTCTTATCGATATTTCAAATGATTTTAATTCAGTCAGTCACGATAATCTCCTTTCGATATTATACCATCTTATGGCCTATGACGAAGTGTTGACTTGGTTTTCATCTTATCTTCGGGACCACCAGCAGTTGGTGCAGTCTGGGGAATCATTCTAACCCTGGCTCAATTTGAAAACTGGTGGGTGTGGTTTATATATGTATGTTTGTATGTATATGTGTGAATATATATGTAAAGTTATTTATATGTAGGTCCTTTTTTATCTATAAGTAATTATATATATGAGTACTACATATTTTTATCTGTTCGTCTTTCTGTAATTTCCATCGAAGTTGTGCACTCTACCACTATTTAACCACAACACCCTATGGTTAACTGGTAGAGAATGTCTACGGCATTAAGTCCGCCTTTGTACGCTTGTGCATTAAGTATTAATAAATCAGTAACTAAAATAAATTAAGGCTGATTTACACTTCGGTAAATACAGTTGCGAGTGAACTAAAGTCTTGGCGAGTTAAGTTCTCATCATCACTTGGACAGAGATTTGTCAGTCAACTACATGCTGACTCGCTAATATACTTACCAAAATGTAAATCTGCCTTAAGAAATGAGTTTCTTGAATTGGTAGGTAAAAAGATAACTAGCAGGTACTAGCGAATTCTTATGCGTGGATTCATTAGTTTCCCATAGAAAATTTCAGCCATTCCCCATTCTACTACCCCCTAAGTTAAATTATCACGGCAAAAAGTAGCCTTTAACCGTCCCCAGAGTCCCATCTAATAGAATCTGGCTGACTGTGATAGCTCCATTATTTCTTGTTGATTTTTTATTATGTATTAACATTTACCATATATATATTACCTTCATAACGAAGGATGAAATTTGCCCAAATTTCGGCCAATATCCCCAAATTTTAATACAGCGAAATTTTTATAACTTTTGTTACAAAGATAACCGAATCAGGAGAATTAAGTTTCAAGGATCTTATTTTCCTATTATTTACAGGCTTTCGATTATGACTTCAGCCAGTATGAAAACGTCTCCAAGTGGTTCCAAAGAACGAAGAAAGCGTTGGAGCCGTATGGTTACAACGACATCGATGTAGCCGGAGCCCAAATACTAGCTAATTTCCTGAAGAATTGATTTAATTTGTAATTCACACCATATTCTACATAATATAAACCACTGAGAAAACGTTTGTACTTTTCATTTCATCATAATCTTCAGCCTGTTACCTACTGCTGGGACATTTTTTTTTTGTGATGCAGACAAAACCTCTATTTACAGACGACGGCGCCTATAAGAGGCACACCGTCGAAAGGCCCTCATACCTGGCTCCCGTAAGCCTTACGGGCCCCCGCAGTGGCTGCCCACTGAGGACCCCGTAACCCTTAGGGACGCGTTACGGCATAATATCCGCTAAAAATCCCTGCGAATACTCTCTAAGGGATTCCTCTCTCTAGGGATTCTACCGTGTCTCCGCGCCCACAGCTCCCGGCCTAGCCGGGGTACTGATGGGGCACCTGCCTCGCCTATAGATTGAAGAGGAAGAAACGGCATTAACCAGGCCATGACCACGCGGATCCAGTGCGTATTGGTGGATGCTAATGACTGCAGATGCAGCCGGGACCAGCGGCTTAACGTGCCTTCCAAAACAAGAAGAAGCCAGTGATAGTGACTTTGGTGGTGTTATGTTTGTCGATGAGTAAGGTTCCAGGGTGATATTTTTGGTATCGCAAGCGTTTTTAGGCCACGGGCCATACGTTTGTTTGCCATACTTTTTACATAAAAAAAAACTTTCTGAAAAGGTCACCTAATATGATTGGCTATTGAGGAAATTGCTCAACAGAGATCAAACGCGTTAACCACTACGTCATTGAGCTACATCTATTTATTTATGACATTGATATTTTTACTTAGGTAGGTATAAAGTTAACTTTTCATAGCAATAACGGCATATTAAATTAGTAAATATTTTTTTATCGTTTTATGATACAATAATTGTTTTTGACTGAGATAATTTTCTTTATAAATTTACGCACATTCAATGGAATAAAAAATTTCGCACTGAAAACAATCGGCCTATGTAGAAATGTTACACTGTCATTTATGCTTCTGAAAATTTCAGCTTTCCGATAGCGAAACAACAATTTAATTTTTTGTTGAAGGTTATCGTTTTTCTTTATTTTAAAAGGTTGGCAAACAATCGTATCGCCATGGCATCATAAGCGGCCATCACTATAGACGCTTCCGATACCAAAATTATCACTCCCGCCGTTGCCTACCCTCATCCAATCCCTACCCCGTGGAGCTCTGGAACCTAACTCACCGTGTTCATATAGTTTAATGTAACGAACTTTATATTCACTACATTTTTACACGACTGCTCAAGAAAAAAAAAGTGTACTGTATTCAGGGTTCATGTATGTAGGTACATTTTTTTATTCCACCACAACTTACCTGAACCGATTTGGATGTGTGTGATATCATATCCTTTCACCATCCCGGGTAACATAGGACCCGATCAGACCCGATCCCCGACAGACCGAAACTGTTAAAATTTAAATAACAGCAATGTCAAAATGCCAATTATTTATGTCAATTAAAGAAAAGTCTTCTAATTATTACAATAAGGTATCATAATTTTTTTGTCATTATATCACTTCTTTGTTAAATATTAACAAAGGATATGTCATCGATCGAACAAGATGCAAATCGATGTCAGTAAACGTATAAAAAGTTAAATGGGAACTTTTTGCGACAAAAATGTACTGTGTTTTAATTACGTTAAATCCGGCGTAAGTGATAAACAAAGGATGATGGTAAGGTGTCAGGAGTGGCGTCCGCGTCCGGTCGCACGAGAACGTGTGGCTATTGAATCGAGTTAGGCATTTCGATCGCACAACAATGCGCCCGCGCACTGCGACAGGTCGCGCGGACCGTAATACGTTTTCAAAACATTGTTCACGTTCGATTGTTGCAATTTGAAAAATCCACCACAAAACGACCAAACAGTCGCCCAGTATTCACAAACACACCGACATCACAACGACCTGCTGAACGTTAGTGCTGCTACTCAATCGTGTTACAGACGTGATTATTAATCAAAGATGTAGTGTGGGTGTTGTGTCGTTTTTGTTCAAGTTTGCGTTTGGACAGTTCCTGAATAACAATGATTACTGTAGGTATTCTTATATTATATGCATTTGCAACGGACGTGCGCAATTTGTTTTGAATAAGTTTAAGTTGTTACATCATAAAGCTTGGTCATCAAAATGTTAATCAATATAAATATTGCGAGCACGATTTTATATAAACAAAAGTTCAATTTCCTCTCTAGACCTGAGTCTGTCAGTCTTGTAATTTAAAACTTTACATACCTGATAATTGGTGGTTTTGGCTTTTAGTTGTGCTGTGTCTAAGTATAGAACCTTTTCATTCCGAAGATATTTCCTTAGAAACTGTTCAAAACCCTGGACAACCCGCAAGTGTCCCGCGGACACATTTTTAATAGGTATTTAATCATATTAGAAATAAACTAAGATTTTCACACTCAGTCTGTTTTATCAATAATTGATTGATGTGCTAGTTATATATAGAACTGTGTAAAAGAAAGCGTTGTTATTCAAAAACTAGTAAATAGTTACCGATAAAGCAAGTTGAGCCGGCAGTGTAGAATTGTTCCATTTACGGGTGCTTGGGTTAGAAACTAGGTAACTGAAATAGCTATACGAAGCGATAACATATGCTTGTTAACCTTTTATGTGTTTATAAAATATTTTTTAACAATCGGCAAAAGTTAATTCAAGAAAATACATTATATACCTAGATTAACATTGTTAATCATTTCGATCCAATTCGATCTTAATAAGCTGAAATTAGAAAATAACATCTTTAGGTTACATACAATACTAAGCACGGCATTGAATGATTTAATATACGGCTATAAAAGGATGTAGTCATTATATCACTGCGCTTGGACCATTGTTAAACTATCTATGTGTTAAACTATTCATACGATACTGGATCTTACGTGTAGGTAGTAGCATTGTCCTTCTATTATCAAGTACTGCATCGAGAGTATTATAATCATCTTCTATGTTACATGCTGTCATCAATGATTATGTTGTTATGTCTCAAGAGAGGCAGTTATTATGTTTTGAATTAATACTAACCGCTTGTTATGGAAGGCCATCAATTATTTCTTTTGTTAATTAATTTTAAGATATACCAACTTTTAATACAAAACTGTAGGCGTAGCACATTATAAACATGGTAAACATTTGAAAACTGCAGCTTATCACCTGTTTGTGCAGTCTACATTGAATACAAGCAAAGACTATTTAGTTATTATCATATAGGTATAATTAAAATTAGATGTAAGTAGGTTTGTTAAACTTAGCGTGAGTTGCACCAACATATTTTAACTTTAACTGTTCAGTTAAAGTACCGGTAAAGTAAAAAATGGGTTGCCAGTGACAATTAACTGTCCAAGCGAGGACAGTTAAATTATCTGGAAAATATACCAGGACTAGATATTTTTGATTGAGTAAAAGATTGAAGTAGATTTTGGCTTGATTTAAAGAATTTTCTTACAATTTTTCAGCAAATAATATTTTTTGTCAGTATGGTTGTGGTAGCGGCTGCGCTTCAATTTTCTATTAATCCCACATCAGATATGTCAACCGAGGAAAAACTTTTACACAAAGGAAATAAAACAATGGAACAATCTGATGAAAGTGGCCACGAAGTTGAAACAGAATTGGAAGAAAAGGACAAAAAATTTTTAGACGACGCGATGAAAACTATATTGGACCCTAATTCTATAATTTTAAAGAACAACAATGAGATTGATAATTTTCGGCTTAAATTAGATGAAATAGATAAAGAAAATATGACACTTGAAGCGTTTATGGAGGAAATGGATAAGCTTAGTTTGGATGTTTGTAAAACATCGCAAGAAGCTTTATGGTCATATGTAACTGATATTAACAGCGAGAACAAAAAGAACAGGATGGTAAGGATCAGTTGATTTTTTAACTATTGTATTTTGTATCTGCTTAATGAACAATACCAAAATATACTTCAATTTTGGGTTCGCGCTAACAAGATCCAGATCTTGTTGCTCCGAAATTCATTTGGCATAACTCAGTTGGCATAATCTTCATTGAACGGATATTTGTAAAGCATATTTTTTGATAATCATTGTTTGGCCGAATGTTCATGTCCGGATCTCATAATGGCATACTTTTAAGATGGCAGATTTTTATTAGGCATATTTACTTCTGGCATTTTTTTTGCATAATTTCTTTAAGTAACTATAATCAGTGTTATGTTCAGTTAAAGGGTCAGTTTAAGTTAGTGTTGTAAACGAAACTTATCAAAGGCCGAGGAAGTGAAGCGAACGTGCCGGAACGGCAAGCGCCAGCCACCTGATAGAAAAATAAACAAAGAAAAAATAAATATTTATATCCCAAAAGATTTTAACTGTTTTGTTTCTGCGATATGTTGGTTCTGCTTTTTTATTGATATTTAATTTAAGCCTAAAGATGATTCTGGCTTACGAAATTATTGAGTTTCTAATAAATAAGTAAATGGCAAATGATTTTCTGCGTAAAGAAATTGATGCGATCCGCTAATATGCATAATAATTTGACTTTAAAATTTCTGCGATAAAAGGTAGACCCTTAAATTTTAGATACGAATAGCAGCTGAAGAAGATGAAATTAAGAAACAGTACTGGAATATACTGAAAAATAAATATTTAAATGACTATCAGATAATCAACGAACCTAATTTGCAAAGGAAGTTTAGAATTGTTAAGGAACGTGGGACCAATGTGCAGATGCCTCAGAGCAAGGTATATATTAACATTATTTACATACAAAGTGGTTCTTGTAATAATTTACAAGTTGTAAATTTTCATTTCCAATGAATGTGGTAAAGTGAAAATTTAATGTGGGTATATATTTTGTATTCAGTTATATTTTTAATGCCGTTTAACTTATGTGATTCATCGTTATGTTCGTACTTGAAAGGAAAACAAAAGGACTAAACTGTGACTGTGGCTAAAGTCACAACATTGTATTCATTATATTGTTACTGGTCAAACTTCTATTATTACCATACTGATAATAATAATAAAGATTTGTCTTTTAGACTTGACATGTATGGCTATCATATCCAACTAGTGCTGTAAGATTAGACCGACAATAAACAATAAAATATTACCATACTTGTGTTTTACATAATATTATGTAGCATATGCTAGTGGTAAGTTTTTCTAGACTTTGATAAACGTAAATACCGAAAGGTGTCTGAAATTTTATTTTAGAAATAACAGTAATGTCAATTATAAACAGAATCTGTGCATAAAAGGCAACTGACTGAACTAGCAACACACAGCTCAAACAACTGAACGGATTGCGCTGGCACGCGTATAACTATTTTGATGTAGGCGTGCGCCAAGAAAGGATTTTCCAAAAGTGACCTACTAAAGGGATAAAACGGGTGTTGAAAGTTTGTATGGAGCACCAAGATCGCTAGGTTAATCCTTTAACTAAATACTAAACCAATATTTCCCCGCAGACGAAAACGCGGGCACCCACTTATCTCATAAAATCGAGAAAAATACTATATATGTTTATTTCAGCAAAGAGAAGAGATTGATACAATGCAAAGAATCTGGAGTAGGGTCACAGTGTGTGCTTACAACGCCACGTCGTGTGATGCTGATGATTCTGTACGAACAATGAGTGGTAAGTGTTTTGGCATTAGATAAATAAATAAATATTTCTAACACTCACACCAATTAGCCTAGCTTCAAAGTAAGAACTGTAAGGCTTGTGTTGTGGGATACGATACTAGGGTAAGGTATGGAATACATATACTGATACATATAAGTATATTCATCTAGAAATATACATATATAAACATTCTAATAGACTTAGATACAAATGCCGGTATTCATTATACTAACATTTGCCCCATCGGGATTCGAACCTGGGACCTTTGAGTAAGCGACACCTTAAAACCCGGTGGACATACGTCACAGAGCTCGTCATTAGATGAGACGACATATAACAATGCCAAAGTGTATGTACTTTGACGATACCATATTCAATATTTAATAGGTCTAACAGCGGCAAATTAATTTAATAGTTTTTTTAAAGTCGTAATGTCTAATATTTAGATCCGTCTCTATTGTTCAAACAACGAAAATGACAACGATAACTTTAATCAAACTAAAAGTTTTCTGAGTATGGCAGTAAGTTATATGTATAATGGAATATATTATACAGGTTGTAAAAAATCCTTTAACGAAGTCGAAGGCCACGTATTTTCCACATCATGATGATATTTTTTTTCTTCTGGACCATACCTGGGAAATTTATGGTTATGGAGATATTGAAGGTCAAAGTCACAATTTTTATTTAAAGATTAATACATTTATATTTTCAGAACGTTATTTAGAAACTTTTTATAAATGCACTTACACACACGCACACCCATTCACACATTTTTTGCGTAGCGCCACAGTAGTGCGCCGCGCTATACATTGCGTACTGTTTTTTTTTAAGCTATTGCATAGATTTTATCTGTGCGCTTTGCGCTTGCGGGCTTTGAGCGCGGCGACCGAATCAAGAAATTCCATAACGAAAATAACCTGACAACAGTGCATATGAACACAATTTTCGCCTTCCCAGTATCGATCTAAACGGTGCAGTGTGTTAAATTTTTGCCAAGGGACCAATGTTCGACGCATCACTCTCACTCGTATTTGTTATTTTTTTATTATAATTTTTCTTTTCTTTATATATTTGTTTTAGACCCCAGCACCTGTTCTTATTTTATTTGTCTCCCTTTTATTTAGACTTTATAACAATAATTTAAATTTTTGGACTAAAGATGGTAAACTGTGGAGCTTGTGGAAGTTTTTTGGCGCTGGGCAATGCTGTTGTTTGCTGTGCTTGCCCAATAAAATATCATAAGGGCTGCCTCGCCATCTATTAATATCAAAGAACAAACTTGAATTAATAAAATAAATTAATAATTATAATTGCATAAGTTGATAAATAATGCTATGCAATAGCTTTACCGCGGCAGTCCCCGAGTGCCACACGTATTTTTTTTAACTTTAATATACAAACGATTCCCACGTACCTATAATATTTTGTAATATTACTTGTTTGGGTGTTCATAATGCGTAGTTACAGTCTTTGTCATAGGTTTTTTTTACACTCTGATATAACCGAAGTTAAAAAAGGTGATTATTTCGTGAATTATTGAGGACTATAATCATCCATAAACACGGTAAGACAAAATTTTACATTTAGGTACAATAAAATAACACCCATCAATCCGCACTGTGCCCGCGTGGTGGGTCACGTGTAGTGTTGCTAACACTACTATATAATATAGTATCCTACTATATTAGGGGATCAAATACTATATTTCTAAAAAAAATACATATGTATTATGCGAAATTACTATATTTTGCTTAAAGCAGACTTTTGCCAGTAATAGCTTTCTCAATAAGTTAAGTTAAAAAGTTTTTAACTTAATTATAATATTATAATTAAGGCGTACAAAAACATATTCATTTCAAATTAATGTAAATATTTTAACCACATACTATATATTTTCCAGTTTTTGCCATCTACTATATTTTTAAAGGTAACAGTTTCGAAAATACTATATATAACAGAAAAAGAGTTGGTAACCCTAGTCACGGCCCCACGGCCTAGTCTCCCCTCCCTATTCCATCCATAGGAAAGGCCTGTGCCCCTGCAGTGGCGACAATAATATGCTGATGATTATGAACTACTATTTTTTAAATGTTTGAATAGGGTCCAAAAAGTACCAAATATTTCATATAATATTTATTTATATAATATTTTTTCTAATTGAAATCTACGCAGTAGGAATAAAATGACAGCAATGAAATTCTAGTATTTATAAATATCTCATCGACAACAATATTTTCTAAAGCCACCCAGGGTATATACCTAGACTGCAACTACCTCAGGATGTATTTTGATAAAGCTAGTAATAAGATATCTCTAACAACTGGAATTTCCGGGCGTTAAAAGCTTTACGACTGCGGGGCGAGGGAAAATGAACAGTAGACGTAATCGCTAACTACTCTTGACAGATGGAAGTGATAATCACTGAGCTATTTAGTGATTCACAACTGTTTTAATTTTAACTCCACTATGATACATGTTCTGAAAAGCATCGATGGAATAGCAATTTACTCTTTAGCTACACACTGTAAATGTCAAAAAAGTTAGAGAATAAGCCGGCAGAACGTGCATTCTTAATTTATTTTCGCTTTCAAATCGGCATTCTCGCGATAAAAGGTTACATCTAAAGACAAGCAGAAGCTATAATAGTATTAAAAAGTTTTAATATAAGCTAGTGACTTTGTCTGCGTGAAAAAATTGGTTTGCCATATAAATTAACTTTTCCAATAATTGATGAACCTTTTACAACTCAGAACCAGGTTTTCGCTATCTGGAAAAGTTAATTTATGTTGGCTTCACGAGCGGTTTTTATGGTAATTTCAAGAATTCTTGCCAGTTTCAAATATTTTATCAGACCTCTACCGCTAGTTTACTGCTGTGCTACTCACTTTAAGGCGATAACAGTGATAAACCTTAATGCCATGTTGTAATGCCAAACTAAATAGAATTACGAGCAAAATAATTAAAAGCTCATTGGCCTACTAATATTTACCTTCGTAAGTAGAGATATTTACCTATTACCTTCGTAATATAGTTTTTAATCCTATGCCCTCAAATGACCGATTCCATGAATTTTATGACTAAAAACACGTCACTAAAATGACAATGAAGAACAGTTATTTCTACTTTCAAATTCAGAACATTTTTTTTAATTATTACTTATTACCATTTTATTTAATGCTGTTGGTTCTAGATGACCTTTACAGCGTTACCGTGTTTGGGGACGGCGAGATCCTAAGGGGACGGGGACCTCAAGCCGACAATTGGCGAGTGCCTCTAGAGGTATTCCAGGCGGATGGCACCGGGGGAGTCTCCTCTCCGTCTGGAGCCTCTAGACCACTCGAACCTGGGTCGGCTCAACTAGAGGGCGTCTTTGAGACTCGGTCTTCGGCTCTAAATATGTGGGGGTATTTTTTATGAAACTTCACGGGCGTACAGTACCTACTCGCCACGAAAGATGAGACTTGACGAGCGCCGTGCCCCGCCTCCCAAGCTCTTCCCGCCACCCCTATTTCGCCCGGTCCCTTCCCCTCTTCAGACCTCATACCGTTAAAGAGACGTTTAAATCGTCTACTGCGCATGTCAAACCACGTGGTGCCTTAAGTCTCATCTTTGGTGGCGCATATTGTATAAAAATCAAAACGCAGAGCCCGGTACCGAGAGAATAGTTTTGTCTCTTTTTGTCTTGCAGTAATTGCCATACTACTTTCTCTGTCATGCGCTGTCCGATCAAATTTTATTATTTATGACAGCATGACAACGAAAGAAAATAAAATTAATAATTAATGAAATCTAAAAACTTTCTAGTGAAATGTTACACCATTAGCTTTATTTATATTTCTAGTATTGTAAGTGCATTTTCGGAAGGCACAAGACGGCCTTTTGAGACACTTTTCTCGCAAAAAACACTGCAATATTTGTATGAAATTCGTCCAACTGTCACTGTGTTCAGATGAACACTGTTAAGAGACGTGTGAGCTCACTTCACGAGTGTAGACAGATTTCGGTGCGGTCAAACTATGGTAAGGGCAGTCTAACGATTTAAATCTTTGCGTAAAAAGGCCCTTAGATAAAACCATTCATTAATATACCTAGTGAAAGATACTTTTTCTGCCTTTGATATATTGTCAACTAATGTGTTTCTTTCAAATTTTGCTTCCAGCCCAGAAATTGTGCTGGAACACTAAAAAAATTAATGGACATATGAAATCATCAATCGGTCAATCAATCAAAAGTTAGTTTATTCGTAATTTGCTAACCCCTATTTTTATGGATTACAGATATAATAACAGTATTTAAAACTAGCAACGATACAAAAGAACTGGCTTATTACTGGAAAGCTTATCGAGACACGACCGGGAAGAAAATACGACCCATCTTCAAGGACTATGTGATGCGGATGAACAAAGTAGCCGAATCCGAGAATTTTACCGACGCTGGAGACATGTGGCGTTATGCTTTTGAAGACGATCACTTCATGGAAACAGTTGACAGAATATGGAGAGAGATCAAACCGTTTTATGATTTGCTTCACAATTACGTTAGGAACAAATTGAAAGCGTTTTATAGAGACGATTTAAAGAATGGTGACAAGTTTATACCGGCTCATCTTTTAGGTAAGTAGGTATCAAAAATAGGTATTTAACCACGTAAATCATATTTATTTTAAATACGACTTTTGAATATTTGTAGTTTTTTAAATATCGGTTAAAACCGGTTATGAGATTGTTCTTATAAGATAAGGGTAATAAATTCCAGTGACGGTAATTATACATTATTGAAACTTGCTTTAAACCTAAAATCATAGATGAATATCTTGGCATTTGAGATACCTTTATAGTGCGTGTCGGTGGACGGTGCAGGAGTATTGTCTGGTTTTTAGTGGTCCTGTTCAGGGCGTTAGGTAGGGCCCTGTTTATTTCATTCCGCCACAAAGCTGACTGAAATGAACAGGAAGGAGTCCCACATACCTTCTTCTCGCTCCCCCAGTGGTTGAAACATGCGTAAGGCATTACCCAAAAAATAAAAGGTATAAAAGGTTAGTTGACTATGAATGATTTTAGTAAATACCATATAATAATAAGCCAACAAAAATAACGATTTTGCTTGGCCTTCTTATAATAGGAAAAAAGATAATTTAACTAAGGTAATTACAAAGTTTCAGTTCCTGTGCTTTTGGCACAAACAGTGTAATTATTGCCTCAATATTGCGATACAGTATCGGAATACCTGAGATGAGAGATGATCGTTTTTCGTATTCCCCACCTCGATTACTTCAGGAATTTGACGTCATATTAACACCTAACAAATCAAATCTTCATAATCCTATTAATATCCCCACTGCTGGCGAACAGACCTTCCCCATGAATGGAAAAGCTATAGTTAAGAAGAGCTTGAGATTATGATCTTTTGAGAAATTATTCGCCATTGCTATCGATAACATATCATATATCGAACACGCTAACCACTTGTGCCATGAAGCTCCTCCTTACAAATATATTAAAAATATAAAAAGGATGTTTTCAGTCGATGCTAAGAGTATCTTGACAGCAAAGTATATTTTTGTAAACATTGCTTGCAGGAAATCTTTGGGCTCAAGAATGGCAGGCTATTTATTCTAAAGTAGCCGGATATCCTGAATTAGTCCGCCAAAGAATTCTTGCTACTGAAACTATACATTCTAAGGATCTTTTTGATGCAGTAGATGAGTTTCATCAATCACTTGGCTTCGAAAGTGCAAAAGATTCATATGAGGACATAAAAGAAACGATGACAACAGCTAATTGTTTACCTTCCAGTCACGATATGTGTGATGGAGTGCACTACAAGTAAGTTTTGGTTGATGTTAAATAAAATAAAAATGCTCATAATATCTGGTAATTAATATTTAGAATTATATTAACAAAGGTCACTTTGCTGGCAATAATTATGATTTAAAAAAATCCAAAAATACACCTGAGCAAGCAGTGGTAAAAGCTTTAAATCTAAAGGACATTTTACTAGAAAATACTCCACTCGGTTCTAGGTGTCAGACTATACCTGACATTTTGGTCATCTGGACCATTTTGATTTTATAGCAAATTTTCTGTAAGTTAAGGCGACTTCCTCACCGGATCGGCACATGCTCGTGTCGATTTCGTTTCTGTACTGAATCTGTACGTCGTGTCGGGCAGGTGAGTCAAATAGTTCCGTAGCACTCGGTACAGAGAGATATGACGTATGCGCTCTGTAAAGAATCTGTAACGAAACTACTCAGTAAGGAAGCTTTATTTAATTACATCCACTCGGTAAACAATCTAAAACAAAACCGAGCATGCGCCGACCCAATGTGGAAGGCGCCTTATAAACCAAGCAGTTAATTGCTTAAAAATATTATAAATAACATAAAATGTAAAAATGCTAATGCTAAAAATGTTAAGAACAGTGGACACAGTTTTTTTTCTGTTTCTTTTTTCATTTCAGGATTAAATGGTGTGGTGAGAAAGTAACTGATGTCGTAGTGGGTTTATCCAGAGCTGCTCGACTGCTTGGTCACGTTCAGTATTTCAAACACTATCGTAATCTTCCTCCTCTGTACCGGGATGGGCCTAACCCAGGTAATAACTCCATGCAGAGTGCTTACTAAATTTGAGACTGTTTGTCTAAATTCTATTTAAATTTCTCTGTCTCAAATTGAGTTCGAACTACGGTACTTGAAGGATGAATACAGAATACCTGCATAAACAAATTCGTCTGTTCATAACAAAAATGTTTTTAACCCTAGCGGAATTCCAATCCACGACTTGGTATTTCAGATTTGGAGTTAGGGAATTTATATTTGTTCGTGTTAATGGTAAGATTAAGTGAAGCTAATGACCTTTTAAATAGGTATGTTTTATTCAAATTCTTAGTTAGATTTTGAAACAAGAATGTGTTATAGAAATTTGGTTATCTTTATTTTTATAGCATTTCATGACGCAATATCAGACATTGTGGCAGTACAACTGACATCGCCAGCCCATTTGAAGAGTTTGAATCTAGTGAAAACAGATGTAGGACCGGAAGTGACCTTGAATCATCTTTTATGGGTCGCTTTAGAGAAATTTCCGTTGATGGCTTATGCTTACGTGTTAGATAAGTGGAGGTGGAATGTATTTAGTAATGATACTTTGGAAAACTGGAATCAGCATTGGTGGGATTTGAGGTATGACATTTAGATTAAATTATTGATGGTGATCAAGTGTTTTAATAATTTTTGCTGATATAAAGCTAGCAAAAAAACAATAAAGATTAAATATGATATATTGAAAACAAAATATCCACCTTAAAAATGTTGGCACAAAAATTTTGACACATTTTCTCACTATTGCTAAGCGGAAAGAAGCATAATACCTACTATATATATTATGGATTTTGATAGCAGATGAATTTTAAAAATAACTTATAAAAAAATCCCTTTTTTTATATCCAACAAAATTAGCTAATAGCTTATGTTTGAAGCCTCAAAACAAAAACCAAATTCTTAAAATGAATTATGCAAAATTAAACACGTGACTCTGCTATAGGAAAATTTTAGTTATACTATTGCAAAATTTTACCTTGACCTTAGTGCTGTGTATGCGTCTTGCAGTTCCTTATCAAGAGATCTATTAATGCAGACCTTGTGAATTCATCGGTTGTATCCTCATTAACCACATGTCATAAGTCTCCAGAATACAGTATTTTTATTTTTATTTTGAATAACTTGACTTTATTCGATGGTGCAGGTTCGAATCCTGTTCGATGTCAGGACCAAGTGGATCTTTTTATTTTTATTTTAAATTAAATTTATTATTATTTCCTTAATAAATATTAAATATACATGTCATTCATTCAGTACAATTCAAATAATATGAGGTCAAAATTACAAACATGTCAATAGGGCATTTGCCTTGGTGACCCAGTCTCTACCAGCCACGTCGTTAATTTCATCTATCCATCTTTGTTTTGGTCTACCTCTATTTTTTTTGTGTCGAAGTCCTTTCCAAGAAGTCACTTTATAAGTCCATTTATTATTATTCATACGTGCAATGTGTCCAGCCCATTTCCATTGAAGTTTTTTACAGAGGTCCAAAGCATCAATAGCATTTGTTCTTTTTCTAATATCATTACTTCAGAATCTGTCTTGTTTTTTTATATTAAGCATACTTCTTTCCAATGACCTTTGACATACTTGTATCTTATTTTTTATGTATTTATTATACATCCAAGTTTGACATCCATAGGTCAAACATGGCAATAAACATGAATCCACCACTTTTTTCTTGAGTTTTACAGGAAGGTTTTATTTCAGAATTTCTTTGTTACTCCAGAACTTATTCCATGTGATGTTTATTTGCCTATTTACTTCATCTTGATATCTGATCGTGGAGAATGATATTTGCTTGCCCAGATATAAATACTCTTGAACATATTCTAATAAAATATTATAGACTTTAATTGGTCTTGTTTGGTTGTTAGGCATAACTTCCGTCTTTGTCGTATTTAATTTTAGTCCGATTTCTCTACTCACTTTATCCAGTTCATTAATTCCCAGTTGAATTGGCGTTTCTGAGAATAGTATGATGTCATCTGCGAATCTAAGGTTGCTTAAATAGTCACCGTTTATAAAAATATCTCTTCTTTTCCAATCCAATTTATTTATTATGCTTTGGAGTACAGTTAGAAAGATTATTGGTCAGAGAGGGTCACCTGTCGTACACCTCGCTGAATAGTTATTTCTGGACCCCTTTTTTCCATTTTTACAAAACTTTTTTATTTATAATTTTAACAAATTAAATTGATTTATACCTAATTAGATTTGAACATTTTTCCAGGAGGACTGAAACGGGTGTGTCTCCACCAGTGCCTAGGAATGAGAGTGATTTGGACCCAGCTGCGAAATATCATGTCGTGTCGCATGTACAGTACATAACGTAAGATATAGATTCAAAGCTTAAAAATAAGGCCTAATGATCCGAACGCACATACGGTATTACGTTGAGTTATACCGTGTGTGAGTTCGGATCATATTTTCACGCGTTGATTTTAGAGTAAAACTATCGAGATTTTCTGTAAAATCAACGCGTCTGTCGCGTCCTACGAACGCGGTCCACGGGTTGATTTTTACTCGCTTTAGAGTAAAACATCTTACCGTATGGAGTAGGTACGAGTAAAATATCTTACCGTACGGAACAAGAGAGGATCTAATTAACTAGCCTACCTTGTCTAGTCCTTTGCATTGTAGTCAACGTAATATATCTGTGTTCGTTAGGAATTGGTCCATGGTTAGGATAAGTCATTGGCTGTTAGTGCGAAGCGAGCCTCTATAAAATATAAAATAAATAAATAAATAGTTCCAAGACTCACACCAATTAGCCTAGCCCCAAAGTAAGCACTGTCTGTAGGCTTGTGTTATGGGATACTAGGATAACGGATAGAATATATATAATAATATAAAATGTTCAACACATTTGCACAAAAAAAGCATTTAAGGAGGTTGTATACATTGTTCAAAAGTTCAAAATTACGGACTATACAACGTAACGTGCGGTAAAACATTTTACCACACGCTTCCGTACATGGCGCCGTGCGTATCCTTTACGGTTTTTTTTTATTTCGGTCGAACCTTATTGGTAGCGTTTTTAATCTTTACCTTTGTCTCACTTTAATACGTGATGTAGTTCTTATTTTCACCACCCGTACGTGGCACCATTTTATTATTTGGAAACAGTTTGCTTCATTACATAAATGAGGTATAGGTACTGTTTTATCGCAAATGTGTTGAAAAATGTTGTATGAAATTCTTGCGGATTGTCTCGGGATCTCGGGCTTACATTCGTCTACTCGTTTGTAATAACCAACTTATCACACTTATATCATAAATAACCATGACAGTCATACGAAAGAAAAATAAATAAAATTTAAAATAAAAGTGACACTATCTCAACCTTAAGTACAAAATAACATAATTTGGTTTGAACTTGCTGCTATTTCTTTTTTCAAAAATACTGGATTTAATTATTATAATTATAAGTCACAATGATAACTAAGGTGGTGGCTAAGAACTTCAAATTCATCTGGGACCAACTGCTTATCATACCTTTCGATTTTTGATCCATATACCGACCATTGCAATAGTAGCTTAACGTCCACGATCGTAGAGCCAACGCGCTAACCACTGCTCCTTCGAGCTCTTCACTTATGCTATTTTAAATATTTGTAATCATACATTTAATAAAATATAATTTCTTGTAGCTATATGGTGTCGCATGTACTCGAGTTTCAAATACTTCGCTCTCTGTGCAAAAGGGCAAACCATACCGGACCTTTGCATACTTGCTCCATTTATGGTGTGAAGGAAGCAGGAAAACTTCTCAGGTACCTTACAAAATAAATCTTCCCCACTACATAAAGTAGCGACGCCAGTAACAAAAAAAAATATTAAAATGGAAGCATAATACAGCTCCTTTGAAAAACATTCCAATTTTTATTTACTACCTAATCAAAAAATGTGTTACATCATTCAGATTATTAACAGAGGTTATTAAAAAATAAGCATCGCAATAAACTTTTTTCCCGGCATTGACAAAAAGTTTGACCAAATATATTAATTGTTTTCAACTGGGTATTTCGCGGTAGCAAGTGTTCACATCACAGAACACGGAAGGAAATAAATTTAAATTTTCAAAGTTATAGGGGTAAACTAAATAAAATAAAAATCCCAATAGGTATTTCTTAGTTGTTTTTCTTTTAAAGTTAGCATTCATTAATCATAGAAAACCTAAATTTGAATGTGGTTCGTACATCTATTTATACATAATTCCTAGAATTTGGGCACGATGCACTATTTATGTTTAGTCAGTGAGTAGATGGGTAGCAGCACCAAAGGAAAAATTTACATTTAGTCAATGCTACAATGACATTTTAACTGTCGTGGTTTCTGCATTCATTACAAAGGACAAGGCCTCAGGACAAGGCGAAGGTTGATAAATGTTAAAAATAACTTAATAATAAACATTTGTCTAGATATTCATAAATGTGTTATTGTTCTCTGTTTCATTCATATTATAATTTTAAACTATGAAGAGAATTTCATGTCATTACACTGATTACGAATTATAATATGTATATTCACAGCATGGGAATGTCATTGGGAGCGAGCGAAAATTGGAGGGCTGTTCTTCAAGTGATGACGGGTGAAACTGATTTAGATACTGCTGGCATACTCGATTACTTTTCAACTCTAGAAGAATTCTTAAGATCAGAAAACTCGAAGGTTATTAAAGCAGAAGTCGAAGACATGGACCAAAGTGCTCCTACTATTGTTGGTGCTATTGTTGTTCTCCTGATCTTACTTATTATAATTCTTTATTTCGTAAAAAAATATAGTTTGTTCAGAAAACTGCTTTCTGTTTGTGGCCTTAGCAAAAACGGATCATTAGACATAGTAACAAATGAACTCCCTCAAGGCAAGAGAAGTGAAGTTGAAGGTGTAAGTGAAGATAAAGTGTGACATTCGTATTAACTACGTCGATTTAAGTTAAAATATTTAAAGTCTGAAAACATCTAACATAAATCAATACTGCCTAATGTAATATAATGAATACCTAACTTTCCAATACTACATTCCCAGACCCATCTATCGGCCCACTTAAGTTTAATCGGTTTGTAACAAAAATATATGTTAGGCTGAGCAATAATCTAATATATAAATTCTCGTGTCACGGTGTGCGTAATTGAACTACTCCGAAACGGCTCGACTGATTTACGTGAAATTTTATATGCATATTCAGTAGGTCTGAGAATCGGACAACATCTATTTTTCATCCCCTAAATGTAAAGGGTGGTCCACCATTAAATATTTTTTTCTTACAAATTTTGATTTTATTTATTTATGATACATCATACGAAAATACATACAAACCTAAATTTTCACCCTTCTACCACCAACCCCTATGTTTTTATGGCGGTGCAAAGTTCGCTGGGACAGCTAGTAATATATAAAAAACACACGAAATACATGGTTAATAAATCAGCTTCAAAACTGCTGAAGCTGATTTATAAAGAAAAAACAAAACAACAAAACTTTTTGCTCGATGTAACTTTAAATTTTTGCTACGGCCCGCCAAACCAAAACTTAAAATGCTCGCTTGGCCGATAGATGTGTCTAGGATATATGTATTAACATAAAATGACAACAAAGTCTATAATCCATTTAACCAATTCGTTTGACATTAACATTTAAAATAGCCAATTTGACTATTGCTATGTAATAAATGAAATTATAATATTTTATTGTATTTTAGACCACTTTAAAAATACTACACATAGACTCATTCATGAAGAGGGTCGATTTTTATATTTATGTTCGAAAAAGTATCCAGTGAATTATCTATATAAAAATGCTAGAATGTTGCTATTGTTTAAATTAGTGCGGACTTTATCAGAGTTGCATCTATGAAATAGCTTTGGATCAATTCTTTTATTCAAAGCCGCATCCGTTAACATTGGCCGAGTTTCATATTTTCTGAGTTGGGTTACGTATTTTCCTTATATAATAACAAAGACTGTACTTATTAACTCACTTAAATAAGTCGACAAACCTATATAACAGTGATTGGATATTTAACGCATTATTTTTAAGATTGCAACGACAAGTGATAAACATAATGTTATTGACAGATCTATTTATATCAACTATATTACTAACCGACATGAGATATTTATATGTGAGTTTGCAACTTGGAATATCAAATTATGAATAGGAAAATTAGTGAGTATAGAATAAAATGAAAGATAATTCACTAAAAATAGTGTTTACATATAAGCTACTGTAGAAGCTCAGTTGCATGGATGAAATCGATTTTCATCAATAAACTTTAATACCTCTCGTCGCAGGTATTTAATTAAAATTAGACATATAATTAAACATATTAAAATGTTATATATTGCTTTTTCATTTACTGTTTACATCTTTGACCTAAATGTTAGATTTCTATCGGTGTTCATTATTTTGAGATAATTTATTTCATCAATTTTATCAGTCACAACTAGATTAGGTTATAGCATAAGTAGTAGCTATCTAAATGTAATCATTGTTTTGAAAATGCAGCTTGTAAATTATTATAGATTTAATTTTCTCAAAGAGTGTATGCGTGCGTGTGGTGTAGTTGAACTTCAATGGTACTGGAATAAAACGATTATTATTATTACTTTTGTTTTTCATTTTACAACTTGCAACACTTTGTTGAAAATGAAATCGAATTCGATTCACAATCTATTGAGAAATTTTGTCATTATTGCCACAAACTGTTTGCGGTACCTAGTATTTGTAAAACATTTACCTCATTTAGTTTTTTTTTCTTCAATTTCTAGCTTACTCAGTCTTTTATACACCATTATTATTTTGGGTTACTCGAAATTCTTGTAAATGTAAATAGTGCGGACAGTTATAACAATAAACGTAATACACCCCCATACAAAATATTGACTTATATTGTTTACAAAATATCCTAAAACGATCATTTGTAAATTACATACCTATTTTGGAATTATAATCCGTTATTAAATTACATAGATCCTAAGGTTTTATTTAATAAATTTATGACAAAGAAAACAGGTTTTATAATTGCACAATTAGAGCGTTATCGAAGATACATTTTTTGAAAAAAAAATTAAATAAATTTTATTTTGCAGAAATAAAACCTAAATCGTTGTCTCAATAAGTTAAGTTTCTCAAAATTCACCGTGTAGAGTAACTGGAAAGTAAAATAAAACTATTAAACAAAAAGAGGTTCTTAATTTTTATGAACATAATATGTTTATCGAATACTTTGAGACGGTTCGCACACGATTGAGATTATTTTAAAGTTAACTAAATCAGGTTTATCTAACAAGGGTTAGAGCATGCTAAAGGTGAAAGCAGACTTCGCCGCACCGCAGTCTCCGCAGTCATCGCTTTTTACCCGACTGCGCAATGCAATCTATTTTCAATGTGTAAGCCATTAACGCTAAAATAGTGAATCAAAACTAAAATATTATTTGATAGGTATCTATTTCCAAAATGCAGATTTTGTATTTACATTTTTTTTATCAAAACAAATACTTTTATCGCTTTTGATATTTAAAGACGATAAACTTTGCCTTTTATACTATGTCATTTCGACAAATATTTAAAAAGTTACAACGATGATAAAGTGATAGCGCGGTGTACTATGTAGGAGTATACTACGGGAATAGCTACAAAGAGAAGAAATTTAATTTAGTTGTTTATAAACGTAGATAAATTGTTTTTTCTTTTCAGTTTTTATTTGAAGTATAATTAAGCAGTCGGGTTTGTTGATTTTTAAAATTTTTGTAAATGCCTCGCACATCTATCCGCACCGCAGTCACTGTCACAAATTAAAAGTGGGCGTGTATTACAGTTTTTTTCTAAAGATAGGTCCGACAAATGACTCCACCCCACCTGATGTTAAGAGAAGGTGAAGTCCAGACGCGAAGATAGCTGAAACAGCAGTTCTGCCTGCCACACCAGCCATCCTCACCCTGCCGGCCTGCATGTTGCTTCTTCACGCCTCTTTTAAAGGATCCCAGGTTGTAAGAGGGAGTCACCAAATTTCTTTGTACAGTATACATACAGTATACAGGTCAGGTCGTTTCAGGGACTGCGGCGACTGCGACGCGGGTGGGTGTGCGAGGTTGCATAGAACTTCATATAAAGTATTCGAATGCGAAGACTGCAGCGCGTGCGGTGCGGCCAAGTATGCGTTCACCTTTAATCACTAATAGAAGGTTACTCCAAAAAACGGACTGCTGAGTTAATAGAACTTAGCAGGCCGCACACCCGTGATATCGTAAGAACCTTAACTGGACACTGCAAACTCAACAGACACTAATTTCATATGAAACTAAGTGACACTGATGTTTGCAGATACTGCAACTAGTAATTAAAACACCTATGTTAATGTGGGCCTCTTATCCACAAATGTAGTATTCATCTGGGATGACATATAACATAATACGCCCAGATGAAATAAAAATCTAAAAGCTAGAAACGTTTTCAACTTCTTGGAAACTGTCGGGCTAAAAGAGATACTTTAACTTGGCAGCGAATCACAATAGATCTTCTAGGTCGTAGTGAATACAGTTCCATTAGGACTGCATAGTGCCAAAATTCTGAAATAATAATAATACATCAGGTAATTTAAGTTGGCCCAATAAAAAAAGATATAGACTGTGGATTTTCAGTTGGCTGAGAAATTTCACTAGTTAATTCAGACAACGATTTATAAGTTTTATTTTATATTAAACATTATCATTTGGCGAAATTTTGCAAAAGGGGATTTTCAGGTTTCACCTCAAAAACATAGTCACGGAAATCTATAATTACTAAGTCTGTCTGTCCGTCCGTTTGTCAGCGAGCCGTTTCTCATGAACCGTAATAAGAAAATTTTCATATCTGTATTTTCTATTGTAACAAATAAAATTTAGTTTAAAACCCCCAACAAATTAAAAAAAATACAAAAATTTTGTGTGATATTAAGACACAATTCATTCAAAACCATTTTTGAGCGAGTCCGTCTTGTACTGCATTAATTTATATTTATTTAGAGAATATTTCTGGAAATCTGTACAACGTAAGTAATTGATGATTATTGGATGGAGATGACGGTGTTATTTTACTGTTATCTTCTGTAAGATGGAAGTTTCTCCCCAAACGGGTGCTTTAATTCGAGCGGAAAACCTATGATAGGAAAGCATAGAGTACGCCTGCTGCTAGCACAATCTTCTTCTATACTTATAATAAATCTGTAGAGAGGTCAATTCTGTACATGAAATAAATTTTCAAAATAACTATCAGGGGGTGATTAGTGATCGATACTGATGCCAAAAATGCAATCAGTAAAACTTTTGTCTGTCTGTCTGTCTGTCTGTCTGTGTGTATGTTCCTTATAGAAACAAAAACTACTCGACGGATTTTAACGAAACTTGGTACAATTATTCTTCATACTCCTGGGCAGGTTATAGTATACTTTTCATCACGCTACAGTCAATAGGAGCAGAGTAGTGAAGGGAAATGTTGGGAAAACGGGAGAAGTTACTCCATTTTTTTAGCTTCCGTTGCGTGTGCAGCCTTAATGATTAAATTTACATAGAAATCATGTATGACGGAAATATTCTACATAAAATTGTCTAAAAATATCCCGCAACAGCATATGTCTATCTTTTATGGTTGACTCACAATAACACGTGTAACTCCCGATAGCTTAGCAGTTCGGAGCATTCTGATTATATTTGTTTACTCTTACGTTTATAATACTCTGACTCATTCCTAATTTAAAAAAGTTAACATTATTACCTATTCAATAAAAAAAGAATCAGAAATCGGTATAGAAACACCAAACTTATACATGAAATAAGCCATCGCGCCGTCACACGTGAATACTGAATCATGCTATAAGGATTATTTTTGTGTAACGGTTGCCGCGCTCGACACGGGTCGCGGCGGCGGTAGGTATAAGAAGAATGCCATTATGTATAATACAGGCCTGAGAACAACAACTATAGTCTACACTTCAGCTCTACACCGAAGCGAAGCGAGGGCGGGCCACTAGTATAAAAATAAAAGTAACTTTAGTTTCCGGGTGTTAAGTTAATCCAAATAAATGTCAAGTTTGGCGTCGTTAACAGCGCTTATGGGCGTATTATAGGCGTGTTTTGCACTTATAATAACCATTGTTGCTACCGAGTGTGGGTTGTATGTTATTCTTTCATATTATTGTCATAGTTTAGTCGAGGTCACATCGGCAGATACACCTTTATTTTGTAGGGCGTAAGAGCAGTTTTTGTATAAAAGTGAACCCTCGTGTCCAGTCAACAGAACATCCGGATAACTTAAACAGTTTTTTTTTAAATAAAGACTTTGTCTAATTACTCCGCCCCACCTTAGTCTAGTTTTTTATATGATACGAGGCATACGATCTGACGATATAGCTGATGGTAACAGATACTAAAAAAAAATGGCTCTGTGTGACTGAATAAATCATTTAGTTTTTCAGTGAAAATGATGCTATTTAAGTTTGGATCAATGAACTTCAGCATTCCAATTGGTCATATGTAATTAGGAAATTTCGACATCTTTTCCTGCTGTATGACGAATACACTTAAAATTCCTTCCGATTATTATTCATTTTTAATTTGCATTTCTAAATATTTATTATTATATTTAACTTTAAAAAGACTTACAAAATTAATGGTTATCATTGTTTCCAGGTTACTGCTCTTACGGTAAATTTCGATTCTTTTGAAAATTCAATTACATTATAGTACTATACATATATTACTGTAATGTAATTGAATTTTCAACATTATTAACGAGATTGTTATCATGTACCTTGTTTTTAGCGAGTTTCCAATATTTCGGCACTGTTGTAAGCGCCGTGATCACGGAGTAACTGAAGTAATTGCGGGTAGGCTGTTATTGGCAGACACATCGGTCTACCCTCCGACGAAGACTTTTATTGCGTTCGATACCCGTACCACTGTTCACATTCTCACTATTCACTCGAATCTGTTCTCGACATACAACACTTACAGTATCGGATCGCGACACGACATTTTTTTGATTTTTCCGGTTTTTACACATACGAACTGCAGGATTCCAGACAGTTACATTAGTTAACTACACAGTCTAATAGTACGACTTAGCAGCAACCGTCTTTATTTCTCATTATTTATTATGTATTCTTTTATTTCCAGAACTTTCATTGCTAGACTTTCGTTGGTCAGGGGAATGATTGTTTTAAGTCCAAATAATATTGTCTACCATTAATATAAAAAAATGTATATTTATAAATAAAGTAGTATTTTTTTTGTCAATAGTTTAAGAAAGGAAGGGGATTATCCTCTCAAATTGGAGCACCCGTCTGGGGAAGTCACCTCCGTCTTACCACAGTAAATTAACACTACCTTTTGGTTGTGGTGTGTTCCTGTCGGTGAGTATGGTTCCAGGGCTCCAAGCGGTAGGGGATGGGGTCAGAATAGGCAAAATTATATTTTATCTATCGCAAGTGTCTGTAGAGTATGGTGGCCGCTTAACATCAGGCGGGCCAAATGCCTGTTTGACACCTTTTAACCCAAAAAATAATAAATTAAAACGTACATCTGGGGGTACGCAGAGAGGTTGGAAATGAAATCTTTAACTTCATTTGGGAAACAAATACACCACTTTCATTTTGATACCTTTACCAATCGCTTTATAGAGTCTGTGCGGAAAGAGATTGGGATTTAGATTGATCTACCGTATTTGTAAGGTTTTACCTCTTTATGACATGATTAAATACAAAAAACCTCAAGAAATCACAACAACAAACAAATCCGTATCAATACAAAACTTTG